TATTGTGCTAGATTTACAAATGGCAGGTGGCGAATTGTGCGCTCTAATAAAAAGCTTGAATGCAATCACAAATTTCGCGCCACGGTTCTATAGGGATGCTCAGCAGAGCAGCATACTATCTTAGTGACTGGATGTATATTACCAGCTTCTGATGACAGACGGCGTCAAGTCTTCTCACTACGACAAGAACTCCAAGCGAAATGATCAGGGAATGGATGATTTGCCGCATGATCATCTAATGCACTAGCAACCTTTTTTTTCAATTACACGGCTGCTTAAGCCACATCATTCTAAGCACAAAACTTTTTGATGACATGTTAGCCCATAGTTTTGCTGAGCATGCAACTCGACTGTGAAAGAACCAAATGAAGAAATTATTATGTGTATGCGCATCATTAAGCTGTATATTAGTGCAGACGAAAATTGTTTTGTCACTGACAAAAAAATGCGTCACTTTGCTGAGATGCAAGCATTGCAGACAGATCTAGCAAAGATCATCGCCATTGTATACGAGCTACTGCCTCTACCCCGAAATGACTCCAGGAAGTGACTTTTATAGTTCGTACCTTCAAATAGGCGGTATAGAGGGCTTTTAGAGCTGCGCAAGAAATCTTATGCAAACCCCAATTGCAGCTTTTCCAACTCTAGATCGGCCATTCCACGTCATCCGTGAAGTTTCATCCTTTGCAATTGCGCTTTGTTCAAAGATGATGCCAATGATTGGTCGTGTTTGAGTATCGCAAAGTGATGCGGCAGAGAAAATCCTCCCCTGTTCATAAAAAACATTTTTTAGCAATGAAGTTTGCCGTCGACAATTTCAGAGTGCATCTACTTAGCAAATCTCTTGCATACTATGACAATATGATTCATCTTTTTGTCATGTATACCTTTGAGGTAAAGTTCAAGTCTGTCGGTTAATGTGGTGGTGGACGCGATTGAGTTGCTGCACATCACGATGGTGACGTCGATTGTTACGTCAAGCGTACTGGTTTAGATTTGACATGTGATCGGTTGCTGAAAGCTTTGGAAATCAAAGAGGCTGAAAGCTTTGATGTACGTGCCCCTCTCTGCCTTAATCAATGCTTGATGTACTACAGTACAGACTTACACATCGCTCTGTGCTTTACAATGACAACCACAAGTTTGACAATCTGTACAAGGCACATGGTACGCTTTTGGATGACCATCTCGAACGAGTGAGAGAGATACTGCGCGCTGAGCGGTGTGTATAGGTGCATCAACTTGTCTATTCGGACATGAACATATATGTGCGCGCGTGTAAAGCATGTCGATGTAAAAACTGTAGTCACATTCTTAGATACCTGCCGGTTCAGACAAGTTGTTGACTGTCCATAAAGTGGACTTGTCTTCTGGCCTTTTGAGAGGCGCGCTCACTCATACCTTTTTTGCGTTCGAGATAAACATTATCTCTACAAGCTTCACTTCATATTTCATTAAGAGTTTGGTGAACATTTGAGAACCTCTGTCAACACCACGAAAGGCTTAGAACCTAGAGGGTGAGGGTTATACTTAAATGACTTTGCTAACTTCAGCTCTATTACACTCTGTAGCAGAATCATTAATTTTATCTTAACGAGGTTTGGCGCCATGAGCAGGATGCACGACGCTATGGTCTAGCGGCAGAATATTCAAACGCAAAACGACGATGCCAAAGGCAGGCAGAATGCTCATAAATATGTTGCGGGGTACATTGATAAATTAAAAGCAAGTTGTAATTTAGAAAGATAATGTGATCACATCTTGTGTTCTACCTGTGTATCGATAGCCATCTATGACCACGCTACTTCAAGCCAATCGGATGTGATGAAATCTGTTGCAGATGAAGCAGCAGCTCCACCATTGCTGTAGCTGATTTATCATCTCCTTCAAAGCAGCGACGCAACGTTAAATGGCTGGAGATAAAGCAGAGTAGTGGTGAAGCTTATAGAGAGAGGGCTAGAAGTGTGGCTCATCTCAGTTTGAGACGCGCGTCGAGCTGTGTCATTCCAATCCGAAAAAGCACACGAAACCCTGCCGCCAGTTTTGAGTTTAAACCGAAGAGTTAATTAGTTTTGGGTTAACGCTATAATTACATTTGGAGTAAGCGGTTTGCGATCTGCTCAAGTCGTGCTTGTTCTGAGTATAGAACGAGAGGTCGGTGACGTAACTTACGCTTCCTCTATGCGCAAAGCTACGGCAGCACCGCTGCACAGGTAAAATTCAGTACGCTTAGATGTAGAACAGAGTGGCGATCTAAGTACCGTAAACATTTACTTTGGTTTTTGCCGTCCTCTCAATAGTTTTATCATTTTTCACAGCATTCAATGTAATTAGAGCTAAAAAAATGAGAGATTGTTATGCTTGGATAAGCTTATCCTTTTCATTTGTAGCAGCCAGCTTTTACACATTGCGATATTGTGTCGTCGTAGTCAATGTAACTATCTTCTCTATACAGACGACTTTTAGGTTCGAGAGCGAAGATTTTTAATTTGAGAGCACGTATTAAGGAGATTTGCAAAGTAGTATAAGCAGATTCGATTAAATAGAATCAAAGTGTTGTACATGGTCCAATCCCGCCAACAATGAGCCTTGGTTATACCGTAAAATGATTTTGCTGCTGAGACCCGAAACAAACTAGATATCAAAAGATAAATTGTCCATTGGGCACTGGTGAAGTACCACCTCTCACATTCCTGGTCATGTACATTCAACAACTAATCTTTATTACTCTTATGTGTTACTTTTCCAACTGAAAGACACGAGCAAAAATCTCACTTCATGATTGATCAAAGTGTATGTAACTTGAAGCAACACTGATATTAGCACTTCGTAATCGATTCAAGAAGTTAGATACCAACAATACTCCATCTAAGTGATTTATACAGTAGCACACGTTACTGAGTATATCGTTACTTTTGTCGAGAACAAGATAACAGAAAATATGGACAAATCAACATTTCGACTTATAAAACAATTACATTCAAATTGTCGAGACAAACCACACGATACATGCAACTTCTTAATGTGGCTTCGGATTCAAATACTCCTCGTACCTTTGAAACAATTTCTTGTCTATTTTGGCTGGCTGTACACCAAACCTCGCCTTGATGTCTTCCAACGATTCTGTCTGCCATTTCTTGAATAAACCAACTTGATAACTTTCCGCCGTTTCGGACTTTGCCTTCTTCTGAGTATCCTCGAGCATCCTGGCAACTGGTACCTCGCCGAAGCATTCGATGAAAAGATCAACCGGAGAATAATCCGGGATACTACCCTTCTTTACAAGTGTGGCCATAAACGTATTAAAAACAACCAAATTTGGATGAGTGAGCACCTCATTGATGTTATCACCAAGTCCAAGCCTTTTAAAAGTCTCTATTGGTGAAGCATTACCCCACCAATGAAACTCGACATTTTGCAATCGTATTGCCACTTCACTCGTTTCAGGCACCAAATGCGCAGCCCAGAGCTTAGATGCCGACGCCGCTACACCATAGTTCTTCATTACCATCCCAAAAGCTACCGAATCTAGCTCTGCGCTATTCGTATTCATTTTTATCAGCAGATTCTCATCTCTTAGCAAGTCTACCAGCTTTGTTTGGCGGTGACCGGCGAGAAAGTGTATGAGGGGGATTTCATCGCGCTTCGATTCTATCACTTTTTTAATATCTGCCATCATCAACTTGACAGCATCGAATTTCAGGTCTGAGCCGTCAGACATTCTGGCCAAAGCATCGAATTTTAGGTCTGAGCCGTCAAACATTCTGGCCAAAGCATCGCCGTCGTAGTGGACCGCAAGCTGATAGCAGATACTAAATTCCGCGACGTCTAGATCCTTAGCATATTTTTTCATTTCATAGTTATACCACGTGAGCAGCCCTGTAGTCTTGGGAAGATCGTCGCCAGCCTTGTCGAGCTGTAAGATCGTAAAGACATCTTGTTCATTCCTCATCCGCCAAAGATATTGCTGCTCAGACGCCAATATCTTCCCCAGCTCCTTCTGCGCCGAATTCGTTCCCACCAAAGCCTTCTCTATCATCTCCGTTAGCGGAACAACTCCATGCTTGTTTGTAAGAATGTCGATCGCGTAAACTGGTTTTTCGGGATGTTTTTTTCTGAGATAGATAAGGTATCTCACCCAAGTCTTAAACTTTAGATCTTCCAACAAAGAAGGGAACGATTTATCGAAAAACTTCTCTTTAAACATGGAGTGTGGATCAACTCCACGGGCAGCCCAATATATGAGTCGTGGATCCATCATCAATGGAATCGCAAAGCCCCTTTCGTCGTCATTCAGCGCAGTGTCATTTGACATAACAGTAGCGACATGTGATTCATGGTCTTGATTAGCAAGTGACTTGACCGTGTACAACATTGTTTTCTTTTCTTCTTTCTCAACCATGTTTTCACCCTTGATTTGAAGAATGTGACCAAGCAGAAGTAGTGCAAGATAAAACTGCATGATTGCAAGAAATCTGCGAAATTAACTGACAACACATCAAAATGTCAGAATGACAAAAGACTCAAATGTGTAAAAAGTGCCACGTTACCAGTATCGTAAAGCTTACCTTGTCTCAAATTTAAAAACGCCACTGAGATCACGTAAAGCTTTTTAAGCACATACGATTGTACGTGCCTTTACCGATGTACGTATCCAGATAGGAATAATGATTCATATGTTGGGTTTCGAAATA